GCCCAAAGCCGGTTGCGAGTGCGTAGCCTTCAAACTGAACGGCCTCGGTCGACGGCGTCGCGGTCGTGCCCGACGTGGCTCCGGCACTTGTCAATACAGGCCTTGGGTCATTTCCGTGAGGAGGAATTCCGGTCATGAGCCGGTTGCCCGTGCTTTGGTAGAGCAGCCCGAGGCCCATGATGGCGGCGGTTTGAGCCGACGCCGGCACATGCAAATGCGCAAAGGACGGTGGCCACAGCGACGGAATGTGCATCGAGAGCATCTTGGAGACCGCGCGCTCAATGTTCATGTCTTTGGGGTGATGGAGAGTGCTCGCGGCCGTGCCAAGGAGAAAGCCCACGGACGTGAGCTCGTCGCCAAGCGAGAGGTACTTGTACGTCGTTGTCGGCGACTGGCACTGCAGCTGGCCTTGGAGACCCAAACCAAAGAGAAACCCCGCGTGGCCCGCACACGCTTCTTCGTACAAGCGGACGGCTTCGTCCGACTCGTCCGCATTCGGCTTGGGCTGGTGGGAGAGCACCCACTGCACCGTCACGCGGTCATGTGGCGAGAGCCGCAAGGCAGTCGCGACACCATTGTGGAACTGCGGCCAATGCGTAATCTCCTTGTAACCTGAGATATCGAGGACCGTCTTGGCATTCGTGCCCGACACACGCGCTGTGAGTGGCAGCTGCGGGATGGACAGCCGCGCCGTGTACGGCGACGCCGACGACTGCTGCGCGGTCAAGCTCCCGAGCGTCACCATCCCACGCGCGACCGACAAGCTCATGGAGCGCTTACAGAGCAAGAGCAGTCGTGCTTGCTGCAGCGAGAGCACGTCCGCGTCCGAATGGTGCGCCTCGCGTTGGACCTTGAGCAGCATGGGCTTGTTGGAGCGCAGGAGTCGACAGACCTCCTTGAGCCGCTGGTCTTTAGGGAAGAGCGGCTGACTCGCAAGGACGACATCGGTAAACCCGTCGTCATTGTCTCTGGATGCGTCCAAACTGTCCTTGTCGATCAATGGAAGCGCACACGGCGGCACATCGTGCTCTGGGAGCAAGTCAGCTCGGTTCACAAGGCGGCACTCGTTCGGGCACAGCGCCGCGTCGGGGAAGTGCGTCGTCACGTACACGGCATACTTGAGCGGTAATGCAACGCCAATCGGGAGGTCTTCCCACGGCAGCGAAAGCGCCGCGAGACGCGAAACAACGCGTCTCGCCCGCGCGTGCAGCGGCATGGGGGCGTCCGGGTACAGAGCCTCGTAGAGCTCGATCACAGTCGTCGTTCGCTTCAAGACGGACAGCGTCGGGTACGCGTCTACGCGGCGTGCGGCGCCTTGTTCTTGTTGGCTTCCATCGTGTTGAAGTGATGCGTAGCCATCTTGTGCTGGAGCCACGCGAAAATGTCGACAGGACACGCGTCGCAACGGCCTTGAAAGGGATCGGGCAGCGCGTTTGCGATTGCTGATACCACCGCCCGCGGTCCATGGTCGGCCGCGTAGTGTGCGACATACGGCGTCCAGCCATGAGTGCTCGCGAGAGCATGCAGTACATCACCGAGCGGAACGAGGAGCGACGAGACAAGACTCGAGAGCTTCAAGTCTTCGTAGAGCAAGTGCAGGCCGCAAAATATGGTTGGTATGTGCTCATCGAGCGCAGGTGTCGCCCTTGTCGACACCGCGTCGGCACGGAGACATCGGCGCGTCGTGCGAGGCCCGGAGCGCGGAAGACCGTGGTACGTGTCGTGAAAGGTGGATGCTTGCAACCTCTCGAACGCCGACATATGCAGCTTCATTGGCGCCACCGGTGGCATAAGTGCGCTCTGAAACGCTGCCCACGGCTCAGGACTCGCGACCACCTGCAGGCGCCATGCCAGCACCAACTTTAATGGCAGCAGCGCATCCAGGACGGCAAAAGCGCGGTTCAATAGCGGGTAGGCCGCAAGGCTGAGCGGCACGAGGAATTGCCGACAGCCACCGTCGCCTTCGCAGAGGTGCATGTGGATGCGTGTCTGGATGCGTATCTGGCGACGACCAACCCAGATCGACAGCGCGGCGGCAGTGGCGCGGCGAATGCGATGCGAAGAGGGCCGCGAAGAGGGCTGCCAAGAGGGGCTGTGTTGGCTGCGTAATGACACGCGGTACTCGTGCATGATATGCAGCAGGCTAACTCGAGCTACAGGCGCGCGCCAATCTAGCCGGCGTCATACCTCAGGAGCTCTCGGCGCTTAGCGCAGCATTTGCTGCTCCTGGTGGACGGGATATGACGCCTGCCGAGCGTTTGGTGTCGTCCACGACGCGCAAGCGCCAGAGCATCGATAGCTCCATCGATGGCGCGGAGAAGTAGCATGAGAGGTTGCCCGACTTCGCCTCTATGCTACGCGTCGAGGCCATGAACGCTCAGCGCCAGGAGATGCGGGACGAGCGCGATGCGGACCGCCAGCGAGAACCCAACATGCGCGAGCGCGAACGCAAGATCCACGAAGAGCAACGTCAACGCGAGCGCGAGGATAGGAGAACGCTGCGTT